GCCTCGTCGGACGATGAGCGCGCGGCGGCGTGGCGCGGGGCGGCTGCGGTGGCGCGTCCGAACAGACGCGCGCGCCGCGCTGCCGCGGGGCTGTAGTCCGCGTCGTCGTCGTCCTCGGAGTCGGAGACGGGGGCGGGCCGCGCCACGGGCCGCTGACGGCGCTTAATGCGACGCTGCGGGGGCTGAGGCGGCGAGGGCGCCGGGGCCGACGCCTCGGGCTCCGGGTCAGACCCCAGGTCGGAGAGCAGCGCCAGCTTCTGCGTGAGGTCGGCGGGCAACGCGTCGCTGGCCCGGGCGTCATCGTCGCTGCGGGAACCTGCTGCAGGAGCGGCAGCGGCGGCGGCGGCGGCGGCGGTGCCCCGGCGTCCGCTCGTAGCACGACCCGATGGCGTTGACGTTGCTGGCGATGCGCGGAGGCCCTGTGGAAACGTCACCGCTGTACTCTGGCATTGACTCAAATTCCCTCGGAACACATTCCACGTCGGTGTTTTTATAAAAAATATAGTGCGGCATGTGCTGGTCTAATAAAGTTGTCTACTCCAGCAATAATGCCAAGTCCTTACGAGTTACGTCTCCTCATAGTCATAGTTTACGAATATAATGCAATTCTTCAAAGGTGGTCAATTAGAAGGACGTAACAGCGACATTCCAAATGATTTAAAATGCTTCGCACGGAAAACACAATAAAAATGTTTGTGTTATCGTGACAAACTGTCTCCCATATATTCATTACATATGAAATAAAGATATCCACATTAAAACACTCGCTTAGCGCACCGATCTGAAATTGTAGAATGCATAACATGTCAAGTGTTTACACCCTCTGAATGTGCTACCTCGACTCCCCATGTCCGTCCGCATGCTACATGCAGCCCACTTCCAGATACGGGCCGATGCGAAGCATTTGAGGAAATTAAGATCTCGTAGCGATTGAATTCGGAGTTAACATGAATAGTCGCGTACCCTACTAACCCATTTTTCGCGAGAACAAAACGAAAAGGGAATATGAAAGGGGCCCCAAAATGAAGTGAGTCGCACGAGGAAGACAGCGCGAAGAGTGAAGTTACCTGCGACGCGTCCTCGTTGCAATCCGGCTTCGGCAAGAAGGCCTCGAGGTTCCAGCGCTTGGCGGTCTCCTCCTTGGCGAGCGGCGGCGGGCCGGGGGCGGCTGAGGCAGCCGCCGAGGCGGCAGCGGCGACGGTGGCGGCGGTGGCGGCGGCGGCGCCGACGCC